CCACTTGAATTGTTGCGACTGTTGTGTTGTTTTTAATCTGTTTTTTGTATTTGTTTTTGTCTTTGTTTGTTGTTGTATTCCCCCCCTCCACCTTGTTTGTTAGCCGCCCTGAGTCCCTCGGGAATAGGGTGGCATACAAGTGTAATAAACATTGAAACACATTGAAACATATTTAGTATTATGCATGATTTACTTCCATCATATACTGCTTTGTGTTATTCCACAGCTAACCCAGGGGTGAAATTCAGCAGGTTCTGACAGGTTCTGAAAGGTTCTAGAGAACCAGTAGCGAAAATTTTGAGTAGTTCAGAGAACCGGCAAATGCCATCTCTGGCTGGCCCCAGATGGAGATTTTGCAGTATCCTTCCCCTGCCACGCCCACCAAGCCATGCCCACAGAACCAGTAGTTAAAAAAAAAGGAATTTCACCACTGACCTATCATACTATGGAGAGTATGTGACTGGTTGAAAATATTGATAATTTATTATCCTTTGGGGAATATGTATATTAACATACACCAGTAGATTCATAGGAATATGTTTAAATGTTGAAGATGCGAATGTAATATTGACTTATTTACCTAAATACTGGGATTTGATTGTTTGTCAAGTTTGGAGAGTGAGGAGGCAAAGAGAACTATATTAAGAAATTGGAAATGATACTATATATTTTTCCAGATGCCAACAAATGATTGTTGAACATATGTATTCGATTTGTTTTGCAAAAGGCAATATATTTTTTACTAATCAAAGGATGGACATTGATGGACATCAATGCAATCTTTTTGTGCTTTCTGCCAAATTTTGTGAAATATTTCAAAATTGCAGTTAATTTAATTTAACAAATTGTATTATTAAGGAACTAGTACATTGGGATGCTGAATAATACACATGACCACAGATTGATATGACCACATCTGAGTAAGTATGTAAAGAAATTTACTTATTAACAGGCTGCCACCAAACATTTCTTAATCTCTCTGTCAGGGTGATACAAAAGGAAGCAATTCATCAATCCAGGGATAAATGTGTACTGAACTGTCTATCATCTCAGTCCATTTCCAGGGGCTATTAATGGCCCTCCTGCTCTGCCTTCCTGAAACAGACAAAATTGGAACCAGAGATTGTCCTCAATTTGCTAAGACACAAAACCACCTTAACTCACCATCATGGATGTTCATTGCATCATGTATGCGTAACACTAAGCATGTGATCCAGAGCCTCCAAATAGTTTTTTCCCAGGTCCATATCAAAGTGAGAATTGCCATGGTACTTACGTCATCCCATTTGATAAAGCGTTCACCTTCAATCATGTACTTCTTCACCTTAGGAGGGGTCAGGATAGGACTAAGCACTGACATTCTGGCATTCCACCCGTGTCCCCAAGATTGGGTAGGGAGGTGTTTCTCTTCTTGTCCTCTGCCTCCTTTCTGCCTTTTGGAGCTTCTCCTCACATGGTGCTCACTGTTATTTCAGGAACCAACATGCTTTATAGGCAGGGAAAATGCTTCAGTGGCTTCCAAAGATGAACGCTGATCTCCTGATCTGCATAGGCAAACGATGGACTTTCTCAAGCAGACAGGTAAATGCTGGGGAAAAAATATCCAGAAACGGCAGGCTAGGTAGACAGACGTGATCAACAGGAACCCTCAGCTGCAAAAAAGAAACCAACTAGTGAGGGTTTCCTGCTCTCAACTTCCTCATCGAAGCTTCTGCTTCTCTCTTCAACAATTCAGAAATTATTTCAACATTCCTTTCCTTTCTGAGACTTCTTATTCATTTCTCAAAATTAAACACTATGGCGGGGAAATCAGACAGCTCTTCTCAGTACTCAGGGAATTAGGGAATGTGTAGGTCCAATATATCCAGAGAGTATGACACTGAAAAAATAGCCAAGATACTTGGTTGACTGGCTGCTGTTTTTCTTTGAGAAACTGAGTCATCATTGTTCCCTTCCTTTATTAACTGGGGCCCCTTCACAAAGTGTGCTTGCCTATTCAGTGCTTCTCAAAGTTGGCAACTTTAAGACGTCTGGACTTCAATTTCCAGAATCCCCCTGGCTGAAGAATTCTGAGTGTTGAAAATCAACATCTATTAAAGTTACTAAGTTTGAGAAACATTATAGCAATAGTAACACTTGGACTTGTATACCACTCCATAGTGCTTTACAGCATGCCCAAGGTGG